TTTCCGTAGCTGACATGCGACTGATCATCTCCGTCAGAACCTCGTTGTTGCCGGCGAGTGCACAGTGGTGGAACGCTGATTCCTGAGTCTGTCTGGTCTGCAATGAGACGTCCGCGCCGCTCTCAAGAAGGACGTGAATGATGGCGCGATCATTGCGTGGAGTTTCGACTTCCGAGGATTCGATTAGGGCTACGTAATGGAGCGCACTAGCACCTTCGTTAGTCTGACTATTCACATAGGCGGTCGCCACCTCTGACCCTTTCCTTTCTTTTACAAATTCTATCAAATGTCGGACGACGTCAGCTCTGCAACTCCTGCAGGCTAAATGCAAAGGTGTTTCTCCTTTCTGAGGAAAATAGAAGGCTCAGTATAAATAGAAATAATTTAACATCCATTGTTTTGAGAAAATTATTATATATTATCATTTGTTAAAATTATATTGAAAAAATAACGTTTAATTTGTTTAATTATATTACAATATTATATAAAGTTGTGTTTTTATAAATTATATCTTATTTCTGGCTTTGTCGACGTACTTTTGATTTAAACATCGGGTCACCATCATTGTCGAGGAGTAAAAGGAATGTCGCTAAATTCCCATGGCTGGCTGCCACATGCACGGGCGTTTGACCGTCGTTGATTGGTAGATTGGGATTTGCTCCAGATTGCAATAACATCAGAGCGCATTCGTCGCCATCAGCCACTTTAGCAGCTATGTGAAGTGGAGTCTCGCGAAGTTTTCCACCTCTCATGTTTACTTTTGCGCCGTATCCCAAAAGGGTTTCCACGACAGCTGGTTTGACACTTTCCACAGCTATATGGAGTGCCGTATAGTTATCGTTAGTTATCGCGTCCACCTAAGTACATAAAGAATAAGCGGTTTCCATACAATGAAATTTAGTAATTGGAGATACGTAGAAAATATCTTAAATTGAAAACCAAATTTCTTGATACTTGATTTCACCTCTCTGTGTGTGTGTATGTGTGTGATAAATATTTTCAGAAAATAAAAATATGGTATTTTCAAAGTAAATATATAAAAAAAATATATGAATATATAAAGATTGAATTTAATATATGCAAAATATTCATAAGCAAAATAATTAATTTTGACTTTGTCAAAGTATTTATAACCGAGAAGTTATGCATGCGATGTCATATGATATACCCTCAATCGTGTGATAGTATTTTCTACATCGCTGACAGATCATTTACCTTCTCTCCTCGTTGCAGCAAAGTGTTGATAATATCCACATGACCGTATCCTGCAGCCGTATGAATGGATCTGGCACCATGTTTATTTGGCATGTGCAGATACAGGCCCTTCTTCAAGAGCATAGTGATACATTCCGAGTGACCGTTCAGCGATGCTATGTGCATCAGAGTGGAGCCGTCTTTCGTCCTTTTGAAGATATTTGATTTGAATTTATCGACCAGCAGCTCGATAATGGTAGCATGACCGTTCTCCGCGGCCAAGTGCATCGGCGTACGATCTTGGTGATCGGTGATCGAGGCAGAGGCTCTGACATCGTAAAGACATTTCACTAAAGTTTTGTCACCTTCGGCGCTCGCTATGTGTAACGCAGTTTGCCCATCACTCTGAAATACGTATAGAATTATATACGTATTACGTCTTACGTATATCTCTCGATAATATTGCATGTTATAAGGTTTGTTTAACCTTCAAATGGTACATGAGTGCGAATTCGCACCGCGAAAATTTTCGAATTGCTGGCATTTGCACAGAGACATCAGTCGCGACTTATCCCCATTACGTTAAAATGCCCGGAATCTTAGGTGTCATGTTCGAACATGAACAATCTCAGTCTCGTGCAGATTGATGAGA